ATTTAGTGGGATAATAAGTGATTGAAGTGCTCTATTCAATAAATACTATTTTTAAAGATTAATAGTTAAAATTCTGTTTTTTTATTCTTTTGAGCATTGCCAAAATGATTTAATTTTTTAATGTTCCTAAGGTTTACATTTTACTAGTTCTCAAAATCATAGGTTATTCTTTAAAAACAGTTAAATGTATTAGAAACTTTTAAATTGTCTTTCATTATTTGTCATATTTAATCAACTTCGTCAGTTGATTCCTTAAGAATTGCATTGCTGGAATGAAAACTATTTTGTATTGGAATTTAGTTAAGAGTGAACATTAAAAGTTCATTTTCAGTCATTTTTCTCTTTGGCTTCTCTTAGGTACTTGGATTTGCTCAAGGACACAAGCCTTATTAAAACTCAGGATGTGTTTACAGTCATCCGCTATATCTCATATAACAGCTATGGGAAACATATGGCCTGGAACTGGATACAACTCAACTGGGACTATCTAGTCAACAGGTGGGATGATCAGATAATACTCTGTTGTTCTCTTTGTTTCATATCATCTACAGGTTCTCTCTTTTTCTCTTTGGAGCCCTTTCTCTGGCATTTATACAATACCTGAAATGGCATATTATTAGAGATAAAGGATCATGGTGTTTTCTTTCCAGAGAAGCAATGTAGTAGTTAATTTTAGGCACAATCATTTTTCTGGAAATTATTGTTTCCAACTGATCTATAAGATTCTGAGATCTGGAGAGATGACTAAATAGCATTACTTTTAGTTTTATTAAAACAAGTTAATACAATTCTGTGTGTTGTGCTGGTACCTAGCAAAATGCCAGGTGCATTATTTAGTTCTCAATTAATATTTGATGAAAACTAAATAAGAATTCCTGGACTAGGGTTCAAATTAGAACCCTATATAAAATTGACCTTTTATGGGTGGTAACTTTTATCTGCCCTGATCAGGCAAGTAAACTTCAAGTGTTATGAATAGTTCTTAAAAGAGAACTATATTTCCCAGGTAATAACAGTTTTAAAATGGAAACAGCAAGGACAAGAAAAGAGCAAAATCAACAAAAGAGATGCTTTGCCATACTTCCTATTTCTTCAGCATCATGCAGAAGAAATATTGCTATTCTTCGTTTGGATCTTCTAGATATAATGCTCAATTTCCATGAAAAAGGCATTTCCTTGACAGAGTATAAAATAGAATATAGAATAAAAATAAAATACGTCCCAAATAAATTTGCAAACGTTAATGAAAAGACCTTTCCCATCTGTAATCCCCACATTAGGACATAGGCTCTGTCATCGCCTCCTAATCTCTCCTGCCCACCCAGCAGAGCTGCCTGGTTGATAATGGCTGCCTGACGAGAAGGACCGGCTGCAATGATAACTCGTGTTTCCTTCCTCTTTTCCACTCTACAATTCACCAGAGTGCCACTGTGTCTATTTACACTTCTTTTCCTTCTGACACCCAGATTATATCTCTAGCTCTCAATCAAGATACACTATATTGCTTCTGCCTATTTGTGATAATTTTTTGCCTTCTTTATTCTTGTGACTATTGAGTGTAACTGCTCATCCATCTCTACGAAGATTGGTTGGTGAGAGCATGCATGTGCATGTGTGTATGTATTGTTCACCGGTTTATAATTATTTCAATGAAATGC